TTCTATGTATTATGGTTTTGCCTTGTCTTTTTTTTTTTTTTTTGCTGATTGACAGTCAATGAATGTTTGACAGGAGGTTGATGATGCCGGGTGCTTGCTATTAGCTATTTGAGTATTAGTTTTGTGGGATTCGACTCTTGTGTTATATAGGTCGATCTCGGTGAAGTCTAGGCTCTCTTCTATTTGGTGATTGGTAAGACTGGGTTTGTTTTTTGGGTTTGTTTACAGGGAATTGGAGCTGGTTTTTGAGTGTTTTATGGGATGAGAAAATTGTTAGAAAAAATAAATAAGAGAAGAGAAATATTATAAAAGAATTTTGGCTTTGAAGCATGAAAAACACTTTTTTAAAGGTAATTATGCCTTTAGGATACAACAAAGCCTTAAACTCTCTAATCAGAAATAGTGAAAATAGTTATGCTGAAAGATTTATTTATAATGAATGAACAGACATAAACTTCTATTCAGATAATTATGACCTTCTGTATAATCATGACCTTTATAAATAACAATCTATTTATATTTAAATAGTTATGACCATTTATCATATGATAATTGTTTATGTTCAAACATAATTATTTAAAATATGAAAAAAAATTAATACAAAAATTAATTTTATTCATCAATAATTAAATATTTCTATCCAATGTGGGATACACTACATTTTAAACTACCAACAATCTCCCACTAGTTTGAAATGTTGGTGCTTAATTTTACCTTTCATACAAATAAATATTATGAATACAAAAAGATATATCTCGATTTAAACCTTCAATTAGCATATATATTTTAGAATTCTAATGAAGTTTATGGTATCCAGAGATTAAACCTCAACTCCTAGTGTTAGAATTGAAGATATAACACACATAATACTTATTTATTCTTCTTTTAGAGATTTATAATCGCTTTTAACACTATTATGATCATGTGCTTATCCTATTCATAAACATTTACAAAAGAGACCATAATTCTTCTTGTTGAAGTGGCACCACTTCTATGTTTATATAGGTAAAGTTTTCATTATGTCTCTGTTGCTTTAGACATTTAAAACTCCATTAAGAGTATAAAAACTCATATGAAATATAAATTTTTAATAATTGCCTTTAAATTATTAGAAAAAATAAATAAGAAATGAGGAATAATAGAAAAGAATTTTGGCTTTGAGGCGTGAAGAACACTTTCTTAAAGGTAATTATGCTCTTAAGATACAACAAAACCTCAACTCTCTAATCAAAAGTAGTAAAAATGATTATACTAAAAGATTTATTTATAATGAATGAACAGACATAAACTTTTATTCAAATGGTTGTGACATTTTATATAATCATGACATTTATGAATAACAATCTATTTATATTCAAATAGTTATGACCATTTGTCATATGATAATTATTTCTGTTCAAACATAACTATTTAAAATATGAATAAAATTAATATAAAAATTAATTTTATTCATCAATAATTAAATTTTTCTAACTAATGTAGGATGTACCACATTTTAAACTACCAACAGGAACTAGGTGATAAAATGGTCGTGGGATGGTGAGAATATGGCTAATTTACAATGGGGTTAAGGTGGTGATTGACAACTGCTAATGATTACCTTCCTCTATATATAAATTGATTTTTGCTTGATTGTGTGGGTTTATTGCTCTATTTGTTGGGTTGTGGCGAGGATTATGCTTTTTGGGTGTTTTGATGGGATAAGGAAACTTGGTGATGAAATGGCCATGGGATGGCGAGGATACAGGTGATTTAGTGGTGGTGATAGGTAGTCTGTGTGATGGTTTCTGCTTTTACCGATTGCTTTTTGTTACTTTTTTTTATGTTCCTCCTTCATGAAACTAAAGTGCTGAGAATTTATAAGGATTTCATTTCAAATTCAACAGAAATCCCGATTTGTATTTTTAAATAATAAAAATAACTTTAAACTAAATACAATATCAAAAATAAAAAATTAAAAGCCTTCTATTAAAATATAAATTGATTACAAACTAAATGAGATATCTATAATAATTTTTCTTTTTAATTAAAAATATATTTTCAAAATTAAAACCAAATTAAAAATTTTAAAATCCTTTTGAAAAATTTCCCTACCGTTTTAAAAAATTAAGTAAAACTTTATATATTAATTTTAAAATTTTAATAAAAAACTCCATATCGTTTTAAATATTAAGTAAAAATTTTTATATCATTTTAAGAAATTGATTTATTAATCTATTCATAAATTCTTTTTCTATTGAAAAATTATTTTTAATATATTAGATTGGGGTGGATCCACCTTGACAACCTTGTATTATGACCTTGATGCTACTTGCCCATTGCCACAAACCACAACAAAAATAACAATGTCTAAGATTTTAATTTTTTTAGAGTCGTGGTGGTAATTTACATCAATTTTTCTTGCATATTTTAATTACCTCTCATCTTCAAATAATCATCAATTGCACATCATAAGTTCAAACATTAGAATGAATAGGCACCATTAGTAATTTAGTGTCAAATCCTAAACCAACAATATTGAATCAACAAATTTTTTCTCTCATTTTTCTTCTTCTCCACTTTTGCAGGCAAGGTTATTCATTTGATTAATTTTAAATTGGATTATTTAAAATCAAATTATGTTATTTTATTAATAAAATTGAATGCATTAATTTCAAAAATCTAACTAATTAAATTTAACTCAATGAATTTTTTAATTAACTAAATAATAAACTATATTAAAATTAAATTATATTTTAAACTCTTAATTTCTTATATTTGAAACAAATTAAATAAAATCATTCAACAAAATATTCAAATACTAAAGTATTAAGTTAAAAATGGTAACAACTTATAAAATTAAACGGTTCATTTCATGTGTTTTTAGTTTTATCTTTGAGTTTTTTGTTATATTTCAGTTGAATCTTTGATTAATTCAAGGGTTAACTTTAGAAATATACTTTGTGATTAAGGTCGAAATAAAAGTACCCCTTAGGTTTAAAATGTGACATTTAATTATCCTATGATTTGTTTTATTATTTTTTTTCTTCAAAACTGTTACTTTTGCTATTTCCTTTCATCTTTTTTCTTCTGTATCTCAATTCATATTCTCTTTCTAAAAATTTATTCTCTCTCTAATGGTTTGGTTTTAGAGAGAATGAATTTGCCAATCCAAAAACTTTGTCAAAGTTATTTCTAACAAATAGTATTTTTGATTTAGTAAAGCCCAGACGATTGAGCAATTAGGGGCAAAATGCAAAAAAACATAAAACCAAAAGAGAATAAATTTTAGTAATGAGTAATCTCAAGCAATTCAAAAGCAAATACTCATCTAAATTCAACAACCAAAAAAATAATCAGCAAGCAATTCAAAGTCAAAATTCATAAAACAAACAGTAAAAACTCCACCAACGAAGTCTCAACATAGATCAACAACTAGTGAACACAGAATTGGCAATTAACTAAACTTAGAAAAGACCCATTTGACAATACAAAATCAACAATCATCTATTGATAAGCAACCATAGAGGCACATATTAGTAGCAAAACACCCACACACAAAATTGAAAACAAAATAAAAGTTTTCATTATAAGAATTTTTAGTATTTGATCAATTATGGGGCCTTTAGGGTTTTAAAATAGAATAAGAAATATTGTTTTAAAGTTCTTAAGTGGTGAACAATGGCAAGGATGATTTGAAAGGTTTTGGGTTTTAGTCTTTATCTTAGAGTGCTCAAATAAAGAAGAAAGTAGCGTCATATTTTATCAGATATTGAGCTTTTGCTATGTATTGGAAAGAGAAGGAAAGAGAGACACGATGCCACATAGACGAGAAAGGAGGCTAAGGCCGACGATCAATGGTAGAATAGGTGGTGGTTTTTTACCTGATTTTCTAGGTTTTGTTCTTGAGTTTAAAGTTGGTAAAGATAAGTTAGAGAATGCTTAAGGGGTTTGGTTTGGTTAGAGAGAAAAGTTGAAGAGAAGTTAGAGAAAGAATTGGTTTGATTTTAGAAAGAGATAATGAATTTTTAGAGAGAGAATATGAATTTCTAGAAAGATAATATGAATTGAGATGAAAAAGAAAGAAAATAAAGTAACGAAAAAAGTAATGATTTGAAGTAAAAAATAATAAAATAAATCTTAAGATAGTTAAATATCACATTTTAAATTTCAAGGGCACTTTTATCTCGACCTTAACCACATGCTATTTTTTTTAAGTTAACCCTTAATTCAATTATCAAATTGAATTGATCGAAAACTAAAATTCTTCGAAATTATTTTGGTAATTGATCAAAATTAATTTGATAATTAATCAAATAAAATCAGCTTGATCGATTAATTTGATTAAAACCAAAATATAAATACTCATATCTACAAGCTAAGCTTCAAGATGACACTGAATATTTGTGCGCTTGAGCTACATCTTAGATTGTAGATTCAATTAAAGATTTTTTTATTTAAATCAACAAACTATCGAAATAATTGGAAAATTAAATCATTGTAATTTAAAATTTTTCAATAAATTATCAAATACAATCATACTCAAATTCAATTTTACATCAAACTTTGACTGAAATTAAGCTTGAGTTATATATGATAGCTCTATTCTTAACTTATGACATAAATTGTGTTTAGTAATTAGTGAATTTATAATTAACATTGCACATCAATTAATGAGGATACATTCCACTTATAATTTTTTATTATATTCATATAGTTATCTAATTATAATAAAAAATTTATGTAAAGAATCATCATTTATAAATATAAATTTCATATAAAATTTTAATGAATCGCATGTAATTATAAATTATAATTAATTAATTATACTACAGATAATATATTTCCATACATCACCCCGTATTGTCTACCTTGCCGTGCTTTTGTCCTACTAAGGTAAAATGAAGTAAAGTTCTAAACCATATAGCAAATTCTTAAAAGTTAAGCACGAAATTTGTACTTTTGTAATAGTACAAGGACTAAATTTATAATTATCCTAAAAGAAAAATGGAAATTGTGAAAGGAGAAAATTATTATCAGTTTGTGGTATAAATGTGTGGAAATGGAATCGAATGGTAATTTGAAATCGCAAATCGAAAATCGCTAAGGAGGAGAAATAGCAGTGAAGAAAAATGGGAAGGTGGAGAGACCATGTGGTTGCGTTGACAATCCTGGCGGTGGGCCTCCTCTCAATCTCAGCCATCGCAAGACCCTGCAAGACCTTCCTCATCTCCTCCTATTCCTTCTCTTTCCAAAACCCTAACGATCCTTCCTCCTCCGCCTCGTCCGGATTCGTCACCATCTTCACCGAAATCCGCCAATTGAAACCAGTTCCCATACCCTCCGATCCCAATCCCAAGCCGTCCTACGTATTGAGATCTCTCCGCGAGCGCAGCAGGGACATTCTGAGCGTGGTCGTCGCTCTCCTATTCGGCGTCGGCTGTGGCGCTCTGACTGCCGCCACCCTCTACTTGGTGTGGACCCTGTTCTCGGCCCGTTTCGAGTATCATCGCGCTTGTTTGGAGGAAGATGAGAGTGATGAAGAATTTAGCCCTAAGAAGATGGGGTATGTAAACATTCCTGCTGTTAACGTTGAGGAAGACCTTTGATCAAATAACATGGAGTAGTAATTAATATTAATAATAAAAGTTCAAGGATTGATTGTTGTGTGTTTCGGCAAACTTATGTCTGTGGCTATGTATTTTATTTTAAGGCTTTTTTAATAATATGTAATCTAAATACCACTACTACTGTATTACTTATTTGGATTGGATGCTACTTGCTGAGTGCTCTCTTCTGTGTCTCTTTAGATTTGCAATAGATGCATTTTCTTTGATTTCTTTGTGATTAATTAAAAAAAAATGAAAAAATGAAAATGAATTCCCTTAGGAATTGATGGAGGTGGGGTGGCTGATGCATCGTTTTTGGGATTATGTATGAAAAAAAAAAAAAGATAATATTGACTTCATTCAGGATTCTTATTAAATGTTTGTTTTGTAATTATTGGTTTTACTTGCTCTCTATTTGATAGTAATTGAAATGCCTCATTCAGTTTTTAAGATTATTGTTACTTGCTTATTGACCATATCTTTATTTGATTGTGTGGTAACTCCCCTTTATCTGAACCTTTTGTCCTATGATCGTGCAAATATATAAGATTTTTACTTCTTGTATGTTAATCTTATTATCATTTCATTTGACTGTGTGCTGATCATTTGTCCCATTAATCATGGACTGTATGAAACAAAAGAAGTTGCTACTATGCTGGTATATTTTGGTGGTGCACTTCATTTACTCTTAATTTATGAATCTTTTCATTTTATGTAAATATATATAAATCATCTTAACCAGTGTCAATAAACACTGATTAACATTTGCCTTTAAAAGATAAGAAGCTGATAGCTAGGTTCACAGATGTTCCGAGAATCTCTATTTTCAGCCATAAGTTTTATTGTCCAGTAATATTTTGTGTCCATTTTTGGTTTGCTTTTGCTCTTCATTTATTTATTGTTCAAGTAGCTGCCAGTTTTATTTTATTTTTCTCTTTATCCTTTTGTTTTGCTGTTTGATTTGGTTTGGTTTACCGTGATAACTTATTTTCGATTCTATAAAGGTTTGATTTTAGTTATGTGTTTGATTTAGGGGTTGCTTTATATGGTTTCCGTTTGTTGTGGCAGGGTCTCCTTTTTAGGGCATTTAGTAGTATTATTTGTTAAAATCAATCATTGGTGGTTGCCTGTTTAGATCTCAATTTATTTTGTTGATTTCGTGCTTTTATGATATAATGTCAAAGTTGATATTCTATTTCTATTTCCTGCTGCGCACATTAGTTAGTACTGCAATAGTAACTTAATGTTCTTCATTGCTTGAGTGTAAAATATTTAATAAATAGGTATTTTCTAAAGTCTGAGGACAAGAGGTTGAACTTTAAGGAAAACAGATGCAATTAGCCTCTTTTATATGAGAAATAAATATTACCAATCAAATTTGAGATTTCTACAGACTTAAAATTAAAAATAGAGGCATGTTTAGAGGTATCACACAATTCACAAAGTTACTACCCCCATTGGCTATAGCAATCCGTTGATGAACTCACCTGTTGGTTTTAAATCCAAAAACCAATAGCCATTTTCTTTGTCAAAAAACAAACTTTCCCACCAACACAACGCATGGTGACTAAGGTTTTCATGGAAGAAGCGGACTGCTCGAAAATTTGGGATATGCCAATAAGCAAAATTCCGGTCTATGCAATTAGAATAAAAAACGACGTAAAAATGATGGTGGAATGTAAAAAGGCTTGTCAGAAGTCAAGAAGTCAAACATTGCAACTTAGCATCAAAATATGAATCAGAAATACATATTTTACAAGTGCATTTTTGAATCAGGCTTTAAGCAACGCAGGAATTCACAAGGCAGATTTATATTACTAATATCCTGGTTAAGCAAAATGTGTGATATGTCCCTCTATCTCTACCGAAGGAAAATGCTAATAATAGAAAAAGGAATGCACCAATGCTTCACCTTTGTCAACCCCGAGTATGAAGTCTACGAAGAGAACCAGAAAAACCACGCTGTCTTCCCTACATTATTAAATTAGAGGCTGAGCTACTAGGAATATATCATCAAATTAAATCCAAAAAAAGAAAGAGTTGCGATCCTGACCTTTTCATTGTTAAACATGTCCTCTGCAATAGCTTCAATTTTCTTTCTCTTCTTCTCCTCGTTAACAGACTCAGCCATTTCTCCACTCCCAAACTCAAAATTTCTAGGATCCAGACAACGAAACGCAACAACCATGCACATATTCACATACAAATACATTACAAGAATATTTAAACAATTAAACATAATATAGAATCCAAATAAAGCTCTGAAATAGGATCTTACTTGTGAGGATACTTAGAAAATGGAACAAGATTGTTGAAGCTATTTCCTGACTGAATGCTTGCCTATATATATTCCCGAATATAAGGGGGAAAAAAAATATATATATATATATATATATATATATAATCTAAGAAACAAAGAGTTGGAACATTTAAGATTCCAACCATACATAGCATAAGAGGGGAATTAGCAGTCAAAATGAACCCTTATTTTCCAAGTTGTATGTACTGGGCAAGGAATTTCAAGTAGACAAACTACATGTAGTAACACAGTGATGACGTGAGAAATCAGTAACAAAAAATCTCAATTTTCCATGGTCAGACGGATCCAACAATAAAATAGAAGGAATAAGGCAATGTCTATTTCTCAACACAAAAGCCAGGAGAATTAGCAACATAAAATCATGATGATAACATAGAAAAATAGAACTTAATGCATGCATGAGGGTTGTTACCTTGCGAAAGCGCTTGTAGTTTATAACTCCATTGTCTGTTCTATAGCTACTAGTGGAAGTTATATTCACATCTCTAACTATTAAATCTTGGCTATAAACAATATTAGAACTTCCATCTTCAGACTTGTCAGCCTTATTTCTTCTTGCTATCAAACAACAATTGTCATCTTTGAAGGTCACTTGGCTCTCCGATCTAGTAGCATCGTGATATGTGGATACTTCTGCTTTGCTCACACAGTTAGGGGCTTCCATGGAAATTTCTGCACTGCTCACATAAGTCTGGGCTACTTCCTTATGGATAGCAGCATTTGCATTAACTGGTGTAGCTGCTTCATTTTCCTCATCAGAATCTGCTACCACTGTTTCGTCTGTGGAGCAAGAAGAAGAAACAAGTACTGCAAAAAGATAACTCATTAAACTTAACCTTAATATTCATAAATTATAAGTAAATGCTATTTCCAAGAAACAGAAAAACAGAAAATAGTAGAGGAATGAGTTCGAAGAAAAAGTTAAAACAAAATATTCCACCAAGCCTATTCAAAATTTTGGGAATGAAACTGTCTATACGCATGAAAATTGTAGATAATAAAACTGCAAAGCTGATAAATACTACAGAGAAGGCAGTGGCACAGAATATTTAAATATGCAGAAAAAAAAAAGTTTATCCTAAAGCAAACTTCAAAATCATGGTTTTTGGTGAATAGAAAATATTAAAATAATGCAAAATCTTATGTCAATCCAAATCCATATCTAAACTCTCCATTCCATGCTCCAAATAAATTGTTACATGGATTTTAAATGTATTTACTTCAGTTAATACTTATCTTTATTATTGATTTGAATTGAAAAAAAATTATTAAGTATTCTTTCATTTTGTTAAGCAAACTGCATACCTTGCTAACTCCGTTAGTCAAATGAGTGACATGTCCAAAACACTCAATATGAACATACCCCATGTCTAAAAATGCCATGTAATTTTTCTTTTTAATATTTTTTCTAAATTGCTTAAAATTTTAAATTAAAAGAATTTCAAAAAAATTTCAGAAAAATAAAAAATAAAACAAAGAGGGAAATTGGAGAAAAAGAGAGAGAGAGAGGATGACAGGGCTGGCTGGAGTTGATTTGACTGACCCGAGGCAGATTAGCCAATCTTCAGGCCAGAAAGGAGCGATCGGCCTGTCCTGAGGCACCCTCCCCCTTGCACTCCGTTTTCTCTCCTTTGCTCTCCCCTTACCCCAATTTTCTCTCCCTGATTTTGTTTTTACTTTTTCTTCTTTTTCTTTGTTTTATATCGTTTTCTGATTTTCTTTTGATTTCAAAAATAAAACATTTTTAGGAAAAAAAGTTAGAGGTGCACTTGTCTAAAATATAATATGAGCACTTACCAGATGATGGTATCAATATAGACTGAACCAAATTTCCAGATAAAACAGCACGGATTAACGCCATCTCACTCACTCTATATGACAAACTGAGTCTATCTAAGTGATCAAACTTGTCTGATGATCTTCCAGGGATGACATATGTAAGACAAATATTTTCTCCACACTCAAAGACCTAGAAGAAAAATATTCATTAGAAAGCCTACATGCAAATAACAAATTTGCAGGGTCATCACTTCAAGCCTAACCAATAAATCAACAGTAAAATAATTAATTAATGTTTAGTTATTGGGATGCTTTAAAGATATTTCTATTAGCAGTATTAGATTAGCATTCATCAAATAAACTCAAGCCCTTCCAATTTTTAACTTAGCTATCCGTAACATAGGAGACTTGCTACACATGCATGCATTCTGTGATTCATGTTAACCAACTTTCTTGCAACAACACCCGAATGCCACAAGAACTACTCACTACTCCGTACTGTCCCCAAATTTTCTCCTAATCATTTTACTGCTTAAAGAATAAAGAATCAACTGTATTTTAACAAATCAGCTAGAAAGGTTTGATGGTTCAAGGATCTCATCAAAGAAAATATCCCACTAAATTACCTAAGCCATCCAACTTGTACCCTACCTTTTAGGAAATTGGCAAACAGACAGTAGGTTAAGGGACAAAGGGGACGAACTTGTATTTGGAACAACTCAATTTTTTTCACATTTAAAAGGCTTGCCATCATTTATTATTATGCACTCGAAATGGTTTAGGACCTTAAAAAATACCTTGGGTAATCTCAGGTAAAATACCAAGACCATTCTCGCAATGTTTTTAATCCCATAAATAAGGAAGCACAACATACGTGATGTAGAACAAGTAGGTGAAAGACATAGAAAAAGAAATTTAGAGGGAAAATCAGAAATAGACAGAAACAATTACTGAGGAATTGAGGAAATTGGAGGAGCAATAGAAGAATTAAGGGAGAACACCAACAAGAATCACTAGAGAGAGAAAATCTCAATATTCGATATCTCAAATATTCATTATCTAGAAACTAATCAAAACTAATAAGAGAGGTATTTATAACTAAATCCAAAACCCTAATTAAATGAAAATACCAAATCTAACCCTAGAATATAAAATAAACTAAGAATTCTAAAATATCTTTAATCTATATAATTAAAGCCATAAAATATAGAATAAAGTCCTAGACAAATTAATCTCTCAACTAGCATGCCTCCATTCTCCATTAACATTGTTAAAGCAGATTCCTCCAAATATAAATAACTAGTAGTCACCTAGAGTCACACTGCCACACTAGCTTCAACATTATATACTATTTATACAAACAACAATACTCTTATAGCTACTCCTGGTTCAATGCAAATATTACCACTATTAGAAGAAGCCTTATAACTTAGCCACGCATCTTGTTTATATTCAACCAAGAGACTAGTTCAAATGACCAAATCTAAATTTACCCCCCAAACCTTTGTTGGGGATCCTGGGGTAGGTGCCATGCATGGAAGAATAAAAAGGATAAATTCTAGGGTAGAACTTCTGTCCAAGGTGACTGATGATTAAGCTTTTAATTATAGTGTTTTCACATTGTGTTAAAATACATCATAAATGCGTGACCAAGAACTTGAATAATGTTCTGTAAGAGCTTGTACAACAAATCAAATAAGTTAGGACAAGCCAGAAAGAATATGTATGTCATTACAATGATACTGTGTAACCTTTTTGTGCATGCTATATTCCGTAATGTCAAAACAGTTGACAAAAGAAAAAGGAAATAATGAGGAAGAAGCCATGAAGTATGAAAGATACCTGGCTACTTGAACAAATGTCATCAACCAAAATAGTCCTTGAGCCACTCACTTCCAGCAGCGACTGCAATCTATCCCCAAAATTGTACTGCATCAGACAACGAAAAATAAACATCTGTAGCACCCATTTCTATGTCCCCAGATACAAATTAATCTTAGGAGTGCATGTTAAAATGCAGAAACTTTTATTTTACGAATTATATTAATCCAAAGCGATTCAACAATAAAAGCTGACATATGATAAAAAGGATCTCTAGGTAAGGGTTTCAAACTTTGAAATAAAGATGAAGTGCACCACATGATAACTCCATAAAACTCTAGGACTGAGGGACAACTATAAAAATGAGTTTTTATAACAATAAAACTACACTTTAACTAAATTTTTAAGAGCTGACAAAGAAAACCATAAATAGCAAGAATTTTGTATTATCACAATTTAAGTGCAAGCATAACACTTAAAAAGAACAAAAATAAATATAGGTGCCTCATAGTTCAACTTTAACAGGTTCTTTACATCAGATCGGTGAAATCCTCTTCTATTTGCTGATACAAGGTTCATATATGTGACGTCCTCAACTTTTCAACATGCCAACATAGCAACAAAGTGTCCAGACAACCAAATATAAGATGGAAATTGAAAAGATTAAATCGTTTTCCACAAGCAAGCGGACCAAAATCAACTTGTGCATATGAGAATTGGCAAACATAAAGTAAAATCACCAGAGCAAAAGATGCATATATAAATGGCATCAATGTTCTTCTTTCCCTGCCTATTTGTGGAAGATCTGGACAAAAGAAAATAAATATCTTCAGAGCAATTAAGAGTATGAAAATATCACCATGTATGTAGATTCTAACAGAAAGGTATATCCTCCCAAACAGTTTTCACGAGTTTTTGGGTCTGAAACTTCAATGGATACTCCATCCACCATAATTGTTGGAAAATGACTAAGGGAGAAAACAAAAAAGAGTAGTTATACTATGGAAAAACTTTGTGTAAAACTAACCCACCAGATACAAAACTGAAATAATACTTACGAATGGCAGTCCGGAAACTCAGTGCCGATGCTTTTGTCTGCAACAAGCTAAATAAAGTGCAGCAGTAATTATAATTATAGGGAATAAGTACGAGTAGACATGCAACAGTTTTGAATTTGACCCAAAATTAAAACAAAGTTATATTGATTTGACCACCAAAATATTCTTGATTGTGCAAAAATGGCAGGGCAATTCCACAACCAATCTACCTGCATTAGCTATAGTAGCATTTATTAGATTCCACATCGGTTGACACTAAATGACTGAGAAAGTTATAATCTTCATTTAGCGTCATCGTGGCAGGTTAAACACTCACTTTTACTTAATTTCTAGCTAACAAAGGTATAGGTCTTTCTAATTTCTTTCACTTTTTGCATTTTACAGCACATTTCAGTTATTTGAGTGACTGAAAATTTACCTCTTCATGTACCATCAATTTTGAAAGAGTTATAAAAGGCAAAATATTAAGTCATTTGAGTTGAGAGGATGTTTACTATATTCCATTTCAGCATTTTAGCGCTAAATGTCTGTCTTCGCAAAGTGACCATTGTTTAAGAACACAAGTATTGATAATGAATCTTGGTGCCACTCAACAAAATCAGAATTGACTACAAAGATTATATGCTAATAATCAAAATAATAACAAATATTTTTCTATTAAATTAACAATTTTGTATAATTGATTTTATTGTAGATTAGTTTACTTTTTCCATTGCAAAAATATAGAACAATTTACAAGCATTGCTTAAATAAGTTAAGCTTGTCTATCCTTCTTGCTGCTTCGATTCACAGCTTTTTATCTCTATTAGCGATCCAAACATAAATAGGCTTTATTTCAAGGCTCAAATGCCTGCCAAACATATCCAAAGTATCCACGGAGAAGTGGAGAAATCAGAACCCTCAAAACTAAATATTCCAATCATTTAAGTTATTTTCCATTAATAAAACCTAAAGACTATTGAGAAAATACAGGATATAAGCACCTTCTCACAGTTTTCCTTACTTGTTGACTAGTAGAAAGATGTAAACTGGTGACTTGAGACTTAAAGGTCAGCATAGCAATTCTTTCCTCTAGTTCTCTTTATATTCTAAACTTCCTTGTGTAGTGTTCTCTAATTATTTTGGGCTGTCTCAAAATAATGTCCACTTTCCCAAATTGAAAGCATCTCAATCTTGCCATTCATTGAAATACTAACTTTAGGTGCACCCCTCTAACTTATACGAAACTTTAGGGATATCATAAAGTGAGGAACAAAATGCCTCATTTTTAAACCTTTGAGCTATATGGAAATTAGACAATCAATTTGAACCAGAGGGAGTATGTACTGTTTGTTTATCACTTACTAAATAGGTTTATTATCAACAAGATGATAAAATCATTAATTATGGTTTCTTGAAAGTATTAGCTCTATATAAAAACTAAGGCTCTGATTAGTTTTTCTATTTTCATTTTCGGAGAACAATTTTTATTTTCTATTTTATAAATTTTGGAAAACATGTTTGGTATTTAAAAATAAAAAATATTTTCAAAAATGAAAATAGTGAAAATGTATTTGGTATATCCATTTTCAAATAAAATATGAAAAGTAATTCTTGACATAAAAGGTAAAGTGTTAGGAAAAATAATAAAAATAAAATGCAATAGCCATGTGGTCAAGTATTGGTAGAGTGTTGTACTCTTAGTTCCAATAATAAAATTCAATCTCTAGCAGCCTTAAATATAAAATAAATAAATAAAAAATAAAAATAACAGTTCATCATGTATAATCATAAGAAAAAGAACAAATGTTCTTTTCGCAATCAAACTCTACAAATATAATAACAAAAACCAAAACTATACTATATATATATATATATATATATAAATAATAGACCAAAATTAGATGTCAAACAAAGAAATAATAAAAAAATCTTGGAGCACTAGGGGTGGAGACGTGACTTTAGGGATTTTTTAGCTTTTACCCAAAAAAATAATAATAATCTTTCATGTCAGATGAGTTGAATCTCGGTCTTTAGATTGTTTACAATGACAACCAAAAAATTAATAATAATAATAATCTTGCATATTTGGTGAGTCAAACCTAGGTCTTTAGATGGTTTGCAATGACAACCAAAAAAATATTAAATGTACAATGTTTTTACTTTCTCCATTGGCTCCTACTTGCTTATCTGAAAACACAAAAATCATCTTTTTCTTTTCTCTAATTTTAGCCCATTTCATTCTCATTTTCCAAAACAAAAACATTTCCTAGTTTTCCAATCAAACATGTTTTCCCTCGCATTTTCTATTTTTTTATGAAAATGAAAATAGAAAACAACTTTGTTTTCTCAAATCAAACACACTAAATTTTCAAACTAGGCCTTTTAAGGTTAATTCTAAAAAAAATACCAGAGGTTGAGTTAGAACTCTTATTTTCAGTTTATACTCTCCTTGTATTTGGTACATATCAATTTGGTACTAAAGCATGAAAAAATGAAAAGTTATTGACTTATCAAGCTAGAGAGTACTGTCAAAAATTATTGGATTGCCCATTTCCATGATATTGCACTTAGATCAACCATTCTCCTAAGACTTTGATCAGAACGATCAATCTAAAATGGTGAAATATTCCTTGTTGAGCCAAGTAGCATAAGAAGGCAATCCTCAACTTTGTTACATGGACTCGGCATGAGATGATATAAGTGTCTTACTTGCCACTCCAAATCTGCACTCAGCTTCTTCACACAATGGTGCTTAAATAATTGAGCTAAGGAAAGAGGTGGTTAAAATAAGGGAGATTGCTAGGCTAATCTTTGTTGTTTTGCATCACTGTTGATGTCAGCTGAGCTTATGCAACATACTAGCTTAGAACGAAAATGGAAAATAGAAACTTTCTATGCATTGTTCTTTTAGAGAGATAGAGAGAGAGAGAGAGAGAGAGAGAGAGAGAGAAGGGCGGGACGGACGATAGATTAGGGTTTCCTTTTATTGTAACTTGGACTTCTAAAATTTCACACCCACAACCCATTACCTTAAGAAAACAATTAATCTTAGTCTAGCTCAAAATGACAAAAAGATTGTGCCTTGGGCCTTTTTATGTCTTCAGCTCTTGCTTGATCATATAAAATCCAACCTCAATTTGTAGGGTTTAAGGTTTCTAACACAAAGATATTAACTATTTCAAATTAATTTAAGTATCTAAAGATATTTGAAGAAAGTTTTTTTATTGGCTTCCACGTAGGGGGAAAATATAAAACAAATTTTATTTATACAAGAATCTATATTAATATATTTTTCCTGAAATTTTTAATTAAAATATTCACGTATAGTATCCTATTTTTGGCCACTTTTTAAACGACTCCACGAATCCATAACTTTGAGCAAATGACGAGTCCAACCCTTAGATACATACCTGTATCGGAAACCCACACCCAAGTCCATGTAACATATATCCTCAATCAAAGCCAGCCAAACAGTTGAGGAGTTCAACAGCTTGTCACTACTTGCAAGGCTACAAAATTCCTGAACCGGAAGATGTGGTCTTACCTATGTCCAACCTTATAGACACATGTAATTTCAAAAGATACAATGTGGAGAAAAAAAAGGTTAAAAACTTTAGGCTCTATTTTTTCAATTTCAACCTTCAAGAATACTAAAGGTTGAAGAGGAGTTTTAACATGCATGGCTACACACATGACAACATTGTATAAATGGGGTCGAAATGCCAAGGAAGATTGCAAGAAAATGTTCCTTGATGCCAACCTTGAGGACAAGGTAGATCCAAGGAATGAATGATGTTACAATCTCTTGTCAGTTAGATGTTTTCATCTTGGTCTAAATTATGATATATTTCCTCTTTGTTTATGATTTATCACTTAAAAGGAGATATGATCAACTAGGAAAAAATATCATACTTTTTTTAGTTTCTTGAGAGTTTTAGCTCCAAAAAAGACTAAACTATCCAATTAGGTTTAGTAAGTTGAATTCTAATAAAAATCCCAAACTGCTATCATTAATTTGGTAAACATCAGGTAGCGACTAAGATCCCTAACGATTGGAGTGTGGAAATCTTGTGATCAACTAATAGCTTCTCCATACACAAGATTAAGAAGCAAATCAAGAACACACAAAAGCACAATTCTTGAAGGCTTGAAAAAAAGAGATCTGAGAAACAAGTACAGGTATTTTGATCTTTGGCAGTGTCCTTTAAGCAAAATTATTTGCCTACATGAACTTTAATTTTGATTTTACAAATTAACATCATGATTAACATTAAAGGAGATAAGATAGGGTATTTCGCAATCTGTACCTCAAGCCAATTACTATGTAAAACAGGTTTCTTAGCCACAATTGCATCAAGTAGATCCCTTTGCAGGGGCACGTGTTGATCAATGAGAACATGCGTACACTCCTCACCAAAAACATGAGTAAGACGAGCACCTTCATAAAACAGAAATCATAGAGTTAACCAAAATAATAGAATAAAATTGGAGTTAAATATACAATAAGAACTTTCCTCTCCTCAGAAAAGCAAGGAATGCCTAAGTTTCTAATTGTTCACGTTCTTGCTAACATCAAACAATCAAATAATGACAACCTTTCCTAACACCAGATTTTAGAAGCATGATAAGCAAACTGCTCTCATAAAACAACTCAAGTAAAGGCAAATAAATAGGTAGCCTGTAAGGTCAGTTTAGGTTTAGGGTAGAACAAAGGAACTCCAGGTTCCCAATCTATCATGTTTAAGTATCAATACAAAGAATCAACAATAAAAATTTTATTTTCCTTTTCTTATATTTGGGAGCAACATTAAGTGCAAATAGGTGAAAGAATTAAAAAAAGAAAAACAAGTTTAAAGGTGAAATTGTAAGATGAAATCATTGTGTTTTAAGTATCAATAAAAAGAATCAACAAAACAAATTTTATTTTCCTTTTTCTTATATTTAGAAGCAACATTAACATTTGGTGCACCCGGTTAGGAGAAATGAGTTTCTTGATTTAAGAGAGACTAAAGCTTCTAATGGTAAACCACCAAAGAAGTGGATGCAAGTAATAAGAAATAATATGAGGCTTAAGAAAGATGAAAAGGTTGTTTTTTATAGAAGTGAGTGGCATAAGAAGAATCAAAACTATGACCTAACATGATTCCTTTTTTGGCATTTCCTACAGCCGACTCCAGAGTTATGGGATATAAGGCTTAGTTTGTTGTTGTTGTATTAACATTTGGTGCACATAGGTGAAAGAATAAAAAAACAAGTTTAAAGGTGAAATTATAAGATGAAAGCTTTGTGAAGATTGAAGCTAAAATGACACATTTTAACTAACCAATGGATGAAACTTTGTCTTGAAGATGATGATTCATCTGGGAGGCCTCATCACAGCAGATATAGAATACAAGTGGGACATAAGAGAATCTGCATGGATTTAAGCAGCAGAGGATTTAGATTGTTAATACGAATTGACTGAATTCATTGAAATAAGGAAATCATTAAATTGGCATAATTGCTTGAATGAACAATGTGAATGAATTATATGATTATATGAATAAATCTGCTTGTCGAGTTGGTCCGAAAACATGAAAGAATGAAAGAAAGAAGAAAATAAATTAAAAAAGAAAGTACCTGTAGTTTGCATTCCCAGTTCCAAATGAAATCAAGTCCCCATCTTCTAAAGAGGTTTGTTTATTTGGAAACTGATGTACTTTTTTGTTAGAAGTGAGATTCTTGTTAATGAATGTTCCGTACTTTGACAAATCTTTGATTCGAACTTGAGAAGATTTAGTCATTTCATCAACTATTATATGAGCATGGATTCTGGAGACTCCCTTGTCTTTGTGAATGATGATATCACAGCCTTCAATAGAGAAAACCCCAATAGTTAAAAAAAATAATAAAAAGAAAACAGAAAAAACCACAATAGCAATAATCATTTAACAATTTCCACCAGATAGAAACAGAAAGGCAAACAAAATCACCTTTTCGACCCACTTTATACGTTCCTTTCTTGAAAATGTAGTACTTATCTTCTTCCTCAACTGGCCATAGGGTTTAGGTTTTAGAATTGAGAATGTAATGCAAAAAATGAAGTGGAAATTTAGGGTTTAGTACCTGAGGAAGGACCAGCAGGAAGCAGAGCCCAGACCATAGTTTACTACCAATTAAATTAAATTTAAAACCAAATTTCCTCTCCAAACACAAGATGACTAAAATCTCTGCGGTTACGGTGTTTCAGGCTTTGATGGAGGGTAGATTCCGTTGTTTTTGCGGGCCGTTCACTGTCGTGATCTGAGTTTCCTCAGAGCTGGACACCAGCTTCCTTGGGTTATTTCCCTTCGACATAAATAGATTTTCAAAAACATATTTTGTTTAACTGAAAATAAGTTGTTGGTCAATAAAACGACTACTGAGGGTATTTTTTCCGAAAAGTGAATCTAATTTCACCTGGTTTTTTAAGAGTTTTAACAAGAAGAATAAAAAGTCTTTGAATTATAAATTCTCTTTTTTCTGAGGTTTTCGAACATTTATTTTGGATAAATAATTTTTATGATTTATTTTATCTTTTAATATAAAAAAAATTATATGTTAAATTGAGATTCAAACTGACAAGTATAAAGCATTCTAAATTTTGTACTTTGACACCTACAATGACATTGTTTAATTTTATTTTTTTAAAAATATAAAATTAACTCAATTTTTGTTTGTATTAAATTTTTATTTATTATGATCAAATTTGTATTTAGTTTGTATATTTTATTTCAATTTATTTAATAAAAATACAATAATTATTAACATATGTATATTTTTAAAATAGTATTAAATTATTTGAAATTAAAATACAATAATATTAAATTATTTGAAATTAAAATTATTTTAAATATTAATTGTGTTTAAATTTGGAAGATAAATTATATTTTTAAAATTTTAAAATTTTAATAAAAATCATATTTTTAAGATAAAAAATGTAATAAATGTCAAAATTTTAGAATTTTAACAAAAATTATGTTTTTAAGATTAAAAAAGTAATAAATGTTAAATTTTATTTTTAAAATTCCAAAATTTTAATATAAACCATATTTTTTAAATAAAAACGTAATGAATATTAAAATTTTATTTTTAAAATTTTTAAATTTTAACAAAAATCATATTGTTAAGATAAAAAACATAATGAACGATAAAATTTTATTTTTGAAATTTTATAATTTTAGCAAATATCAAATTTTTTAATATAACAAATGTTGTGGATTTTAAAACTTTATCTTTAAAATTTTTGTTTTTAAGATAAAAAACGTAATTAATGTTATTATTTGTAAAAAAATTAAAATAAAATATAAAATATCTTTATTTAATATTATTACATATAAAAATATATTTACTTAATATTATTACCTAACAAAGGTTGATCCACATATTTTTTTTAATTAAAAACAATCAACGTAAAAATAGTAATTATGATTGTAAAATTATTTTTGTTAAAAATATAAAAAAATCAAAATTCTTTAATTTCATCGAAAACGTGTTATTCAAGTATAACTTATTATGAATGTCATGTGTCATTAAATATAATATAATAAAATACTTTATTAGATAATTTTACATTTTTCTAAACTAAATACAAATATCTTTTATTCATTAGGTCAACTAAACTTAGAAATTACATATTTCTTTTTAACATCACTTTATTTCAAAATTCACTTTTATTCTAAAAGTACAAAAATCTATGAATCAAACGTTCTCTTAATGTAAGAATATCTTGATATATCGTAAAATATTTAATATGATATTTAAATTTTAAAAATTTTTAAAATGATATTTAAATTATAAAATTTTTAATTAATATGATACTTATTTTTAACTTGATCAACTCCAAATAATGACATGTAGTGAACAAACAACCATCAAAGTAATACATTAGTTAATAGTTTCATAATTTAAGTATTATATTAAAATTTTTTTAAATTCAAGTATTACATTAAATATTTTAATAATAAAAGTATTATATTAGTTTCATGATAAATAATAATATTAGTATAATAAGAATATTTTCATTAATGTAATATGAAAAGTTAACATAGCCATATTATTATTTTAATAATATTTCCCTAATAATCTAAATATTTTCAATCATTTTTTAATATTTTTAAACTTAAAATATATAACACTTTCAAAACGATAATGACAATGATTTTATATTTCTATTTAATAATAAATATATAATATTTTATAATTTAATAATAAATATTTTTAATATAAAATATTATTGTGAATAATTTTAATTATTATTTTTAATATTTTATATCAACAAAAGCAATATTTTATAAATAATAACAATAATACTGTTTTAGTTATTTTAAAATATTAATATAAATACAGTATTAAGAATAAATACTATTTTTCGAGTATTCAATGCTAATATAGTATTTTGATATTAAATATTATTATTGAAATATTTTTATTAAAATATTAATATTAAAATTTTAGTAATTTTCATATTTCAATGATAAATATTTCCAAGTTTTTAATAATAAATATTTTCTAATATTTTAATAATAATATTTTTAATATTTTAATAATTATGTTAATATTACTATTTAAAAAAAGAAAAATTTCAAAAATAATTAAATAACAAAAATCTGTTTCATTAAGTCATCGACCTTTTTTTGAAAAACAGTAACATTTTTCAAAAAATATTTTTTAAAATTTAATTTTCTTAAAACAAACAAAGCCTGACTCTTAAAAACTGTGTAGGTGCACTCTAAAGTACCATCTAATTGATCGTCACATGTCAACTTCTAGTAAACACATGACAATTTGTTTGCTTTTTATTTTTAAAATAATTATTTTTCTTTGCTTTTATGTTTAAATTAAACTAGATTTAAAACTGTGTCGCTGCAATTTTTTTGTACTATATAAGAAATTGAGATATAAATATCAAATATATAAAATAATATCAATTATACATAAATATTAATTAAAATTAAAAAGTATAAATAAAATTTGCAAATGCAATCTATTGTTATTGTTATAATAATTGCACTTTAAAATTTAATTGATATTAAACTAACTATAAATTTTACAAATTAATTAGTTAAGTGTAACAAAAAGGTAAAACTAAATTATAGCAAAAATTTAATGAAAACATGAAATAACAAAAATATTTAGCTTAAACCTATATAAAAAATCACAACAAAGGCTCAACATAAAAGCTTAAACAAATACAATAAAAAGATAAATTAAATTATAAAAAATTTTAAATTAACACATCAATTATTAATGTATATAATGCATAAACTTATAATAAAAAAGATTAATATGTAATTTGATATTCAAATTATATCACTTTTTTACAATTTTGTATTCAATAAATAAAAATTTACAATCAAATACTCAAATTTTAATTCAGTCCAATGCTTTGCTCCATTGATTAACATGGTTGACATTAAGTTGATGGGGCCTAAAAACCGCCAATAAAATTCTAACATGTGACTAAAAATGCTACGCTAGCATTTAAATTTTTTTTATTTTTGAAAAAAAATAACTTAAACTAAAATTAAAAAAAAAAAGCATAGGGGGAAAGAAAGGGAAAAGGAGGGGAGGAGGGTTGGCTAGCGGCATGTTCAACCGACCAAAATGTAGATCAAGCCAATTTGCCTTAGCCCAAGGCAGATTGGCCAGGTTTGTCCTTGAGCCGACAAGAACTTCCCCACCCCCTATCCATTCTCCCTTTTTCCCCTTTCAATTTTAGTATGTTCATGGCATCAACTAAAGTGTAATTTTCTCTCAAACAAGTTTCATGAAGTTACTAATGCTATTGCATATTTAGTCCGCACTTAAACTGCATTCACAAGTGCAGCTTGAAAAGCAGTAATCACTGTATCTTGACTTACCATGATGAGTTACTCATCACCTCTAGCCGATTAAATATCCTCAACAAGATTTTGTGTGTTCCTTAGTTATCTCTTTTTCTAATATTATCTCATAATCGATAAACTAATTCTTTTTTAGCGAAATTATCTTCAAAAATCATCCTACCTGGCATCCCAATTCTGTTGATTGGTTTTTAAAGAAGACCTTAGACGATCTGACTACTTAGACCATCAAGGGCTTCACCCTTGATAACCCAGCAAGAACAAGGATAATCGACAAAAAAATGAAAGTTTGATAATCTACTGAGTTAAAACTACTCCTATGTGCGTGAAAGGTAAAGAAAAAATATCGAAAGAAAAAATAAATATACTGACAGATAAAGTAAAAGTGCTTAAAAATTAAGATAAAATGTAATTGCATGTTGATTATGGTTTTTCGAATCTATTTTACATCGTTCTAACTCATAGTTATACAACCAAAATTAAGAAAAAGAAAACGAAAATCCTGACTATTTCTTATCTATAATCATTGTCATTTTTTTTTTTACCTTTACGTTGTTCTTTGCAAAAATTGTTTCACATGTTATTCTCCACTCCATGCAACTTCCACTTGAAGATTAGCCTGAACCGCTTCTGAATACTTTATCTTCAAGCGAAACATCCTCATTCTGAAACTAGTAAGTGTCTTAGACGATGGCTAGAATATCTCTATCATTTATTCAATTCTCTCTAATAGTAAGTCCAATTGAAAACCTCTAAGAATTCAATCTCTTTGAAATTACAAAATTTGTAATCCGTAGTAACTTACCATTTACGCTTGATTTTCTTCAACAACGTTATCATAAAGATCCAATTTAATTTGAATTTTTAATTTTACTTGTATTGAATTTGATCCATGGACTTTGTTAGTACAAAATCATCAAGCTTTTAACAGATTTGGACTTTTTTTTAGCCAATAACAGATAAAGACCTTTAATCTTTTTATATTTGACCCCAATTAATTCTAATCATATTTAGAGATGTCAATAAATAAAGTATTAGGTAGGTAAAGTATTCTTTAAGTAAGGTATTAGGTTGGTAAAACATTCTTCATCTTTCTTTTTATTTTTGAATTTTTATATTATACAAATTTTTATATTCATATTTAATAAATATTTTAAATTTATTCTAATCTTTTTAAGTAATTAATAAGTATTTTAAATCTATCCTTAACCTTTTCGGTAATTAATAAGAACGAAATTTTATAGCTTTTTTAAATAAACATAAAAATTAATTTTTTTAATTTTTTTTAACTTACTCATTTATTAATAGGTACGAGAATCAGTACAAGAACTTGTAACTTTTTTAATAAAAAATAAAATTAATTTTTTTTTATTTTTTTATCTTACACGTTTATTTTATTTTTTTATAAATATATATTAATATATATATTGTTAAATAAAAATATATTAGTTCCATTGATCTAAAATCAAAATTTATATTATTTAATAAAAATTTATTTGCTAAATATATATATATATAAATATATATAGGCTATGAGATGGATATTATATTATCCTTCTTTATATCCAATAAAAAATTTAAAATCATATTTATTATCATCTCAAAATTTAATATCCATCTTCATTTCAATTCGAATTAAAAAAATTAAATTTTTTATTAAATATAGATAAAATTGACATTCTTAATCATATTTGAACTTTAATAATATTTTAAAGACTTGGATTAAGCTTTAGGGTCTATTTAAATAGACGGTGAGATTGATTTTGATGAGATTAAAAAAAGTTATAGTAGCGAGATTAGTTACTATAATAGTAAGATTAGATGCTGTAATGGTAAGATTAAAATTAGTGGTGAGATATGTGTTTGAACATAAATGTAATTATGGTAATAAGATAAAAATGAAAATGATTATTAAAGACATTAATCAAAAAATAAATTAAAATTTTATTTTAATACATATTTTAATTTTATTTAACATTTAAAATATTAAAAAATTAATTCTTTAAAGATATAAATAGATAAAAAAATATATAATGAGTAGAAATAAAATATTACTTTTAAATTCATTCATAATTATTTTAATTTTAATAAAATTATATATATGAATAAAATTAAATTAAAAAATATTAATGAGGATAAAAGTGTCCAAAGTAAGCTGTAGTGGCTCACTGCCACTTTTCCAACCAATGAAAAGTTTTCACCTTACTGGTGTCACATAAGCACAACTGCAGTGCAGCTGTGTAATCCAAACAATTAATTAAGATGCAATTACATCAAAAAGTTACTCCATCTCACTATAACACGGGTGTAATTGAATTCAAATAAGCCCTTAATTAATTAATAGATCACTAATTAATTATTAAACCAATATTCAACAATTATTCAATCTTGTGTTAAACTTAATTTTATGGGCTATAAATTTATTGCCCAAATATATGGACTGTTTTAGATGTCATCATTTATCCATCTCATTACTAGAGTGCAGACTTATCTCTTGTGTCTATTCTTGTAATGAAAAACCGTCCACATAAGTGATTAAAATATTAATGAAATATGAAATTTAAATTTAATTTAATTGATTTTTAAAAAATTTTAAATAATAATATTTAATAATTTTAAATTTTAAATTTCAACATTAATAATTTATTTATTTTTTCAAATCACGATCTCCTGTATATTAAAAAAATTTGATGAAGTGATCGAATAAAATAAAAAAAAATTGCACCTATTGACAAAGTTGAATGGCTAAAACATGATTATTATCCTAATAATTAATTTAAAAAGGAAAAGTTTAGACGGATTTGATAAAAAAAAATAGTGGGACAAAAATTTGCAGTGGTATGATTGTACGGGATTAGAAAGGAGACAAAAGGATTTAAGGAGGAATGAGGTGGCGACTGGCAAGATTGGAATTACAGCGCAAAGCCGTTTCATATTTTGTCTTAAAAAAATCTTCAAACAATGGTTTCGGCCGAAAAAAATATCTTCATACAATGGGCTTACCGGCTTCCGCACTAATTGTGTCGGGTAAACTACATGACAACCGCATTTAATAGTGCCAAATGAACGGTTTTGCATCGAGTTTTTTTTTTTTTTTTTTTAAAAGCATTTTTTTGCCATCTTTGTTAGAAAAGGAAACAAGTAGTACTACATTCCAACGAAAGACGGATTGTTTAAATTTTGACAGAGAAGGTGAAAAAATATTATATTTTGAATAAATTAACATATAATAAAAGATGGGTAATTTTTTTTAAGTGGGTAAATTTTTTCGGGCATCCACCACGTGAGTTTTTTGAAAAAAATTTGTTTTTCAAAAAACAAGAGTTTGTGTGAGTAAAAACGGTGTAATTTTTGTATTTTTCATTTTTATAAAGAATTAAAATGCATAAATAACTCTGATTTTATTTTCTTCTCATAATTTTATTTTAGTTTTAAGTAAATTTTCTAACTAAGTTTCTAACACCAACTCTTATGAAGGTTTTATAATAAGTATAGATAGAATTTTGAATGATGTCATTACGTATGCATGTTGAAGGATTCACTTTTTTTTCTATTTTAATATAAGTTTAAAAAATGAAAAAAAATCTAATTTAATTATAAAGAGTAGGCATTGGAATTTTGAGGTTTAAGATGCAAGTTTGAATTTGGCTTGAATTTATTTTAGACACTCTTAATTACTCGAGTTGATTGGTATATTAATTTAATTGATTCGTTTGTACATGTAATTTAATAATAATAATAAATGCAAAGCCGTGAAGCAGTTGGGTGGGAGACGCCCCATCAACAGCGAAAAAGATGATAGAAAACGACAAAATGATGCCTTTCCACATTACTTAACGTCTCTTTTTGCTGCTGCTGGGCCGCAGCCGTGGCTGTATAAAAGGAAAAGGAAGGATAGGAGGAAAGTATTGTGATACAAGCGTCTAGTTGCGGGAATTGTGATTCATTGATTGATTTGTGTTAGTTGTGGAAGGAGAAATCACCATCTCCATCGGTGTATCGATCTATATTCTATAATCTTAATCTATGCAACAAGGCAAGCCAATCTCATGCTTTGGGTATTGTTCCATTTCCATTTCCATTTCCTTATGAATGCCTTGGACAAGTTGCGTTGCTCCTCTTCCTCCTCCAATCTCAGCCGCTTCATTGCCGGCCTCTTAATCTCCCTTCTCTTCCATTCTTTCCAATTGATTTCCAATTTCCTCACCCCTATACACCCTTAATTCTCTTTTTATATTATTATTATTTTTTTTTTCGTATCTGATTCATGGACATGGACAAGGACCCCAACAATCTTTTCTTGAAAGATTCGGTTGCTCCTTGTGTGATTGTGATTGGAGGTGGGATTTCCGGTCTTGCTGCTGCACGGATGCTCTCTGATGCATCTTTCAAGGTAATAGTTATAACACTTAATTGTTGTTTTATTCTTATTATTTGCTGCTGCTGTTACTCTTGGATTCGACTTGACAAAGCAAAAAAATTTATTCTTCTTCCTCAGGTGATCCTGCTGGAATCACGAAATAGACTTGGCGGCCGCATCCACACTGACTACTCTTTCGGTTGCCCTGTCGATATGGGAGCTTCATGGTCTTTTTCTCCTTCTCTTCCAAAACACCATTTATATCGAGTGAAATCAGGAAAATATTAGATTGAGATTGTTTAGGGTTTAAAATGTTTGGAAATTTCATAACATGATCTAAAGTGTGAATCATGCAAAGATTAAATGGTTATTATCTGTGCACGGAGCAAACCACTCTTTCTTACCTTGAAAGACTACCTAAGCTTACAAGAAATTCTCTTTCTTTATGCTTCTTTTATTTACTTGAGTTATGTTATTTAAGTTGAAAGAGTGTTCTCTAGAGTTTTTTTTTCCCTTTCTCTGCAAGCATTAAAATCACATTTCTCTCTATCATTTGCATTTTATTTGCCAAGATCTATGTATTTTGAGAAGCAAATATGAAATAATGCATCTATGACTTGTCTATTAATTATCTTTTTCTAATATTTCAGGCTACATGGGGTCTGCAATGAGAATCCCTTGGCTCCTTTAATATGCTCTCTGGGGCTTACATTGTACCGTACCAGTGGTGACAATTCTGTGTTGTATGACCATGATTTGGAAAGGTAATCTTTCAAAACTTTCTGCATATATTTCTAGCATGCGCTCAAGATCATATGCATGGTTCCTTCTAACAATATTGGTTATACCAATACCCAACTTTTGTTTTTCCTCAATGGGGCATACGGCTTTCATCAACCTATATTTTCAGCATTATGCTGGTCTTGGACCCTTTGGACATTATTGCATCCTGCCGAATGTCCCAAACTCTGATACTGAATGTTTCGATTAGACTGACAGCAGCATTTGGCTAGTGATGTGTGTTACTTTTGTGCATGGAATGATCAAGTCTTAACCATTGTTAAAGCAAACTCTAGTGAATATGGACGATGAAGTTGAACAGTACTATTCCATATAAATTGTTACTCAATGATCACAATTCTTATAAAACCATCAGTTAAATTTTAGCCGCTAAAAAATCAAAGAAAAACATGGATAGTTCTTTTTTTTGATAATTTAATTTATGAACATCTATGCTATTATAATCTCCTTGTGTCCTCGATGGGACACCTTAATGGTTAGAGTGAGTCTTTCAACCTGAAGGTATCAGGTTCGAATCTTGAGAAGGGGGAGGGAAGGGTTTATGATGTTATTAGAGAAGGCTATTCTTTCATTACTATCTCTGTCTTGCTCCTTTAAACAACTGGCTATTCCTATATCTTATTTATTCTATTTTTATATATTTTTTCTCTCACGTCTTTAAATGTGTCAACTAGCTAGTAGTAATCAAAGGCGATAGTTCAACATTTATTATTTCTTTCACGGGTCAAATCTCCACCATACAGTTTGAACTATTTTCTTGAGGATGTGAATCAACATGCAGCCATAGCTTCCTTTGTGCGTAGTTTGAACTATTTTCTTGAGAATCTGAATTTACTTTTATCAGTTATACACTTTTTGATATGGATGGCTGTAAAGTTCCACAAGAGATGGTTGTTGAAGTTGGAGATGTATTCAAGAGAATCCTCAAAGAGGTATTGTAGTAAATACATAGTTAGAGTTCATCTTGGCTATAACTGGGCATTCTAATGTCATAAGAAAGTCTTTTCATTCTTATTTATGCCTCTAGACAGAGAAAGTAAGGGATGAAAACACCGAGGACATGTCAGTCCTTCAAGCAATAGCAATTGTGTTAGATAGGCACCCTGAATTAAGGTATTTGTATTTGTCATCAGTATCTCATTACCTTGCTAATAATACTGGGTTTATTAGTGTCATTGACAACCCCTATTTTCTATAGACAAGAAGGACTTGCCTATGAAGTGATGCAGTGGTACATATGTAGAATGGAAGCTTGGTTTGCTGCAGATGCTGATATGATATCCTTGAAGTTATGGGATCAGGCAAGTATTAGTTATTTAACAGAGACTATGCCTCTATTAATTTGCTGTTCTTGGTGTTGGCACCTGACTATTGTTTATGGATGTGGTAACTACTACTTAGTAACATAATAACAATTTTTCTGTGCTATTTCTTTCATTTTAAATTTTGAGTTGTATGTCAAATAGTTTTCTGTGTTCGAAATTCATGAAGGAGGTGAAGATGTAATACTTTAAACATGTAATCATGTGAAAAATGATTTATAAATGAGCTTGAACCATATTAGATTAGAACATTGCCACACCAATCACCAAAAATTGTTGCAAGCATATTAACTGACCTTTTTTGTGAAAGGAGAATGAACGCTATGGAGCAACTTTTACATCAGTTTTCTTGCACTTGCATGATGACTTGAATTCGCATTTTATCATGTGAGTTTTACTTGAGAATATTATACCCCCCTAATGCTCCTAAAGAATCACCTAGCCGGCTAGCCCTATTACCTTTTTGACCTTTTTCCATTAGTCAACTGAACATCTTGTAAGTCCTTTTGTCTTATCTATTTTTTCCTTTTGTATTTTCTTTCTGGAAAGTTCCAGCTGGATGTCTTCTCGATCACAGCCCTCTCTATTCTAAGATTTGACCTGATCAAATCCAATTCATCATTAAACAAACACTAAATATTGCTTTCATTATTGCAAATTAGAATTTCAAATCCTTTCAACATTGGCCTGCATAAGGGCACATGTACTAATTAAGTCATGTTTTAATTTTGTACAAAACCCTAAAAGTTTGGACATTTTCAAATAAAACGCTAGTTTTTGTTTGGTTTGAGAAAATATTTTTTGTTTTTATTTTTTATTTTTATTTTCCAAAATAGTTTTTATTTTTTATTTTTTGTTTTTTAAAAAATGTATTTGATAAACAAAAATAAAAATTATTTTCTAAAAATGTAAAAAATAAAGAAATAAATAAAATATTCAATGATATTACTATTAATGGTGTCTAATTATAAATATAGTATATATTTATTAATTAATGACATTAAAAAGTGTTCAAATATGGGAACTTGCAAAACATAAGGAAAAAAAAGTAATGTATATCCCTTGTTTTCTCAATTGAAAACATCTTTTTTTTTTTATTATTTTCATATTTCAACTCATTTTCAATTTTGTTTTTAGATTTTTTTTTTTCATTTTCAATCACCAAATACATTTTCACTCTTGTTTTTCATTTTCCAAGAAAATAAAAACAAAAAAATGACTCTGTTTTTTGAAACCAAACGCTACCTAAAATTTTTAATGTTGCATTTTAAACCAGTAATAAAATTCAAAACATTTCATTTAAGAAAACATTTCTCTTCTCTTTTTGTTACATATCTTCTGCTTCTTTTCTTTCTTAAATCTCTTTCTTTCAGTGCTAGCTGCCTTCTCTCACCTCCTTTCATTGTTGAGGTAATCAATGGATGCCCTCATCAAACTTAGGTGAGAAAGGGTTTACTATTTGAGGAAAAAAAGAATAAAGAGAAAGAAATAGGGAGCAGGTGACATAGGATGCAAAGAAGCTGCTTGTAGGATTAACTTATTTAATGTTTTGTTTTCCTCCATTTTTATATGTTCTGAGTTCAATTATTATTTGCACACTTATTTATTAAATTTTAATTTTTGGTTTATTTAATATTTATTATTGTTTTGCTTATTTTCAGTTTTAGGACATTAAGGTTATATATATTTTTTAGTTTATTATTTGGTTTAGGCTTATAATTACCTATGTTGTTTCAATTCAGTAGTTTTTAATTTATTATGAATTACTGAGATTTAAGCATACAGTATTCTGTATTATTGAAACTTAAATTATTGAGAATTTGAGCATTGAGGCTTTTGGTAATTTAGATTTGAGATTGGAGCTTTGATTATTGAGAATTTAGAGCATTTTCTTGAGTTTTTTTTTATTAATTAATTCTACATTAGGAGGCTGGCTATTGGCCAGCCTACCACTAACGAAATAAGGCTCAGAGGCTGGCTAGAATGGAGTGAGAGTTGAGATTTACGATTGGAGATTTTGATTATAGAGTATTAAGCATGTTTTCTTGAGTATTTGTTTTGAGATCACTTGTTCTGGATCAGTACGGTGGCTATTGGCCTGGCTAGCAGTTACAGATGAAGGCTCAGGTGTCTAATAGAGAAGCAAAAAGAGAAAAAAAAAAATAGAAGCAACTCAACATGAGGGTTGGTAATTTGTCTTCATTTTCTTACCGAAGTTGGGTGGGGGGCAGAATCCTATTAGTTTGGAAAATTGAAATCCAAGTTGCTACATTTAAAGTTAAGCATCTAATGAGAAAGTGTACAGATTCTTTAAAGTTTTCTATGTAATTAGGACAAAAATGTATTCTGCGTCAGTGGTAAGCTGGTTGCTAAGTTTGAATGAGTTAAAAAAAAACTGATTATTTGTTAGAATTACCTTATAATTGCATTTTATCGACAATTTTAAACTTAGAGGTTGATGCTCTTTTTTGTATGCTTGTTATTAAGTTTGAATGAGGTATTAAAACAATTGATTATTTGTTAGAGTGGCCTTGTAATTGCATACTATTGACAATCTTAAAGTTAGCTATGGATTCTCTTTTTTGTATGCTTGTTGTTTTAGAAGATTTATTTCTTTTTCTTATTTGTTAGTGTTTTCGTCCTCATTGAAAATGTACAATGTTAAACTTTAAAGGAAAGGTTATCTCTATATTACCTTAATGCATTGTTGTGGCTGATTCCTGCTGTATAGGAACATGTTCTTTCTGGTGGTCATGGACTTATGGTGCAGGGTTATGACCCTATAATAAAAGCTCTTGCTAAAGATATTGATGTACGTTTGAATCATAGGTAAGGTTTGGTGCATCAAAATGGCCCACTGATCTCCTATTCACAATTATCAGTTAAGATGTTTAATGCATCTAAAAGAATAATCTGCACCTCACACCAAAGAGATTTGGTCTAGAGATGAAGAATAACTATTGTTGAATTTCTTTAAGAAGTATAGTATTAGATTCTGCATTGGCTCTCATATGAATCTCTTTTTCAAAGAGATTATGTATTTTGGTACCCAAACTATAGTCAAATGTTCGACTTCGTACCCAAAGTTATATATGTGCAATGTGGTACTTGAACATTGCTTCTGGTTACCTGATTGCATCTGCTAAAAGTGGTAGAGAAAGTGTGGCGTGTCCCCAACATCCAATGGCACTCTATGATGTGGCAATGATGTGGTAAAGCAATCCTCACTTTTTGCTAACAGTCATAGAAAATGCAATATGGTAAAGAAAAGCAAAATTTTAGTACCAAATTGCACATTTTTAAACTTTAGGTACAAAATCAATCACTGGGCTATAGTTCAGGTATTAAATACATAAATAATCCTTGCTAATAGTTAGAAATTTACTTTTCATTTGCTTCGTATAAAATCCCATTTATTTCTTTCAGTAATTTTCTTTGTGTGTTCTATTCATTTATCTGATATTAGACAGCTACAATGTGATGTTAGATGAGGCTTATGCTAGTCGAGCTTTCCAACTGTTTGAGCTGTTGATCATATATTTACCCCTTTTGTCATTTTATTTACTTGGTTGCCTGCTTAACTTCAGCAGCTCCAATCTCCATGTGCAATTAGTATGTTACTTTTATTCTCTGGAATTGTAAATATTTTCTTGGATAAAACATAAATTAAGAATGGAAATTGTTTATGGTGCTTGTCAGGCAACAAAGATTTTGATTCTTTTATGGATCTTGATGAGTAGGGTTAAGAAAATATCCACTGGATGTAATAAGGTGGCAATCGATGTTGAGAATGGGATGAGCTTCATGGCCGATGCTGTTATTGTTACTGTACCCCTTGGGATTCTTAAAGCCAATTTGATTCAGTTTGAACCGAAATTGCCGGAGTGGAAGGTTGCTGCAATTTCAGATATTGGTGTTGGTAGTGAAAACAAGATTGCCTTACGATTTGACACAGTTTTTTGGCCAAATGTTGAACTGTTTGGCGTTGTTGCACCCACCTCTTATTCTTGTGGTTATTTTCTTAATCTTCACAAGGCAACAGGCCACCCTGTCCTTGTCTATATGGCTGCTGGAAGATTTGCTTACGATCTTGAGAAGTTTTCTGATGAGTACGCTGCAAATTTTGTGACGTTGCAATTGAAGAAAATGTTTCCTGAGGCAACTGAGCCGGTAAATTTATGGTTTTTAGTTATTTATTTTTTATATTAACTGGATATATAAATTTCCTCCACAACTAAACTTGGTTTATTTTAAGGAACTAAAATTGCTAATCAGTCTGGTTGCTCTTGAATAGTAATTATTTAAATGTTGATAGAATAACAAAATAGCAGTACTATGAAGTATAAGTTTACATATGCAATTAAATATTTAACTATTATAATTCTTATTTTGTTAATGATAATTGATGTCTCCTAACATTTTAGTTGATAAGTATGAAACAGGTTCAGTATCTGGTGTCACGCTGGGGAACAGATCCAGATTCCCTTGGCTGTTATTCGTATGATGTGGTTGGCATGGCAGGAGATTTGTATGAGAAGCTTAGAGCACCCTTGGGTAACATTTTCTTTGGAGGGGAAGCTGTTAGTGTGGAGCATCAAGGGTCGGTGCATGGAGCTTACTCTGCTGGAGTCATGGCAGCTCAAAACTGTCAGAGCCATCTCTTACAGAGATTAGGTAACATGAACAAGCTCCAGCTAATGTCCTTTAGGGATGAATTATTGTTAGAACCTACATTATTTGCTCTCCAGATTTCAAGGATGTGAAGATTATCAAATTTTAGAAAGAGGGTCCGACCTTTTTGTGCCTTGTCTAATTTTCTAAGTAGATTTCATCCCATGCATCAAACTTAATAGATTATATGTTTGTCAAATAGAACAAATATGTTTGAAAGACACTTTAATTATCTCAAAATTTTCAAAAAAAAAAAAAGGTGTTCTGTTTTATATATATTATAAAATTATTTACATAAAACTAAACCTTTATTTATTTGGAGGGGAAACATTGACAGGTATAGCTTTTTTGATAGGTATGTGATGTAGATGGCATGGCATGGAATGTGGCGAAAGAATTCCACACCATCTACACTTCCTAGTAACCAAACAAGCTAACTTTGGTCAATGTTTTAAATTTGTTACCATTAAAAGACGGGATTCATATGATAAATTTGTTACCTAAACCTGTTGACCAAAAAGCACGTTTAGGTCTTATCTATACCTACTTAAATTATATTAAAATGTTAAAATAATATTTTTATATGATAATTTCAATATTTAAAATATATTATAATTAATATAAAATAAAATAACCATTTTTTTAACGAAAAGAATATATCGGGCCAAGGCTCAAAAATTCCTGCTCTTGATGAGCTACGCATCCCATATTGGTTTAGCATAAAGTCAACGAAACAACACCGCCTCAATGATAAAGAGGAGGTCTGATGCCTTTAAATCTCAAGTTAAGTTTCATAAAATATAAATTTATATATAATTAATAGTGCAAAAAAAATTAAACCTTGATAGTCAGAAATAAAAATCTTGCACGCTATTAAAAGAGCACATAACCATTGACAAAATTAGTATGAGCGGTAAATATTTTTTGAGCCAGTGTTCGAATTGAGGACCTCTCTAGTTTTTATATTGGATTGTTGATTTATTTTATTTGTTCGTTAATTTCTTCTTAGATATACTAATTTATATATTAAACTCTTTGAATTGTAATTATAATTGCTAGTTATAAACTTTTTGTTGATAATTATAGAATTGTTTATTTTCTTCTTCAAAAATATTTTTGCTATTTAAACAAATTGAAGATAATTTTTTATCTTTTTGATCCATTTAAAAATAATTCCTTGTGAATGATTATGCTCACTCAATTTAGAAAAAAAAATGAGAATGCGCGCCACACGTGATTAATGAATCATAAGAGTTTTCATTATAGGATCTTTTAATTAATTGGACACCATTTAATATAATATATTGAGATAATTTAATTCCTTAACCTAGGCTAGGCCTGGGCTGTGAACTTGATACACCGTACACGTATTCTCAAGGAAATAATAGCAGTCTGTGCCCACGTAAGTCTGATTCTGATGTACTTACTAACCATACCACAAACACACAATGTCGGGCTACTGGAAAAAGTTCATTGGGATTTGGTTCAGTATTCAAGTGAACCAACAGATGAGAGTCCAGACACATAATCTCGACCACCGGAGGCAGTAGCAGTGCCACTGCTATTCATCCTTTGACCTGGGGTTGGGCTAAAAGGCTCCACCCTTTGCTCCCCCATCTTCTGCACATCCTCCGCTGAAAGTATCTTTATGTACCAAACATTATTCACAAAAGCCCTGCATGTTTCGTTAACCAAACCAAATATTAACCAGGGCTTAAATGCCATAATGATAATCAATCAAATATCATCAAAAATCCAAAACCTCTAAAACAATCAATCAAATACTATATTATGGTAGCTTTGTTTACAAGGGAGAATTCTCACTACTTTTAACTCAGTCACATGATTCAGTCTTGTGATCCAGTCACCTCTCCAGTCAAGTCCATCAGATTTTTTCCCCTTTACTATGAAATCAATTGTTTCGTATTATTTTCATTTTTTTCTTTTTCTATTTCAAAGGGTCTTGAAGATGAAAGAATTCAATTGCTTATATGATGCAACAGTGCTTAAGGTGTCAAAGAGATTGAATTTTTCCAATAAGTTTAAACTACAGCAGACATTATTGATCCGAATCCAAGAAACCCACCCGGTACTAATCCAACCAATTTGACCAGGAAAAGTCAACAATCCAAACTCGCCAAGCTCAAATCCGAAATGACAAGAATCCAAACAACTCAAAAGACTAACCCCAAACAATCTGAACTTAAATTTATTTGACTTCCAAATTAATAATTTAGACTGAAATGACCTGAACTTGATGATACGAATCAAACAACCCGTGTCAAACCCAAATCTGAAATGGCTAAAATCCAAGATAGAAAACATGTTCAAGGGGTTTGGACAAAAGAGGTTAAGTCTTAATAGCGTGACAAAATAAGATCTAATAGAGGTAGACCAGTGAGGGCAGGTTTGAAAAAGCTATTCTGCGTTTTTCACTTGAGACTCTGATCTTAATTAGTATATCATGCATGCATGTCTACCTCTGGATGAGGAGTTTGACCAATTTATCACCATAGAAATTACTTACTCCCATGGGTCATCTCCAAGGAGAAGAATATCATTCTCCCTGTCGACGAATACAAGCTGCCAGCCTGATCTAAGAGGGTCTTCCAACTTCCCCTCAATTCCAAACTTCTGAGCCAGCTCCTCTCGCAGCTCATGGTAGCTGCTGAACCTGGAGATGTCTACTGAGCGTCCCACCGACCCTGATTTATAAACCTACAAAAAACCAAAATATAGAGTCATCTCTATGATCTTATGCAAACTATGACCGATATGAAAATAACCTTTAAAAACAGCAGCTCATATATACCTTGACAAATGTTGGAGTTGGATTCAGTGGGTCAACTTGTCCAGTGCTCCGCAGTTCTGAAGAGTCTTGCATGCAACCATACAGAGGATTCTGGAATGAGGGATCCCCTAATGGAATCGAGGGCACATCAGCTTCACTTGAAGATGTGGCAAAACCAGGCATCACAGTGGGGAGTGGAAGGCCATATGAATTGTTGTTAACACCAAAAAGTGCTGAATTCTGGGCATCAGAGTGACCAATTTCTGGTTCTTTTATAGCATCTTTTCCAGGAAACACTTGTGGAAATGATGTTGAGCTAGCAAAGGTAATTACCTGTGAATGAGCATACTTTGGAGCCCAGGATTGCTGGGGTAACTGATCAGCTGGCATTGACTGACCAGTTCTAGAGAAGTTAAGAAGATTTGCACTGCTTTCAGGACACAATGAACCCAGCATATTCTGGACAGGGGGAACAGATCCTGAGACCTTTGCTGAGTCTATAAAATCTGTTTTCAGAAATGATTGAGGCATATTCGTCGGCTGCCTCTGTTGGAGCTGATCACTTTGAATTATGTTATGCTGTTGCTGAGCCTGTTCCTCTGGCAGAGTTCCTACTTGCTCCTGCCCAAGGACCGGGGGCAAGTTTAGAATTTGGGATTGTGCCTGCACAATGTTATGTGGAACCGACTGTGAAACAGCTAGCTGCTGCTGCAACAGTAAATTATGGCTGCCTGGCTGTTGAACAAACTGCAAAGATTGCTGCAGCGGCTGTCTCAGGGGATCCCCACTTCCTAGATTCTGCATCCCATTGGCCAGCATGGCTTGGTACTGCAGATTATGGTCATTTCCAGGGAAACTCGGATCTAGTCTCTGCTGCATCCATGAAAATGAGCTGAAAGACTGAAGATTCAGAGAGTGTAGTCCTTGCTCTCCAGATCCCCCTCTTAGCCACATTAACCCATTAGATATATCATCTCTGTTATCTACAAGGAGACAAATATCATGGTAAGATATCCAGGGAAACAGATAAAAGAGCCAACAGTAACAATTAAATCGTCCACAATTAAGGTAAGCAGTGAAAACCCATATATGCCCAAGTGAGGAATATACTACTCTTTAATTTTGTAAATCACTTGTGCTTCAAATAATCCAAGCTAATGAATTGTAATACTAGCGGAGCATCTGAAAACTCTCTAAATTAAGTAGCACATCACCCTTTCCTAAAAGAGAAAATACTTCCCCAATACAAGTTTAATCAAGAATTGGAAAGGAATTCCTTCGAAGATTGATTCCAATCTTGTATTTGAATGCATTTTGACAACGTTAAGTTAACAAGCTTGACCATCAAATTTAAAGCTTCATGTCTTACAAAATGGTTAAAAAGGGTAACTATAATTAATTGGTATTCATTACTTTAGATAAATCTAAAGGTCTATATACACTTTCCGTTTCTTTTTCATTTGCATATATTTAATGAAATTAGTTGAATAACCAACGTTCAAAACTTGAAACCCCTTTTCTGCTTTGTCAGAAAACTTAAAAACAAGACCTTCCAAATTTTAAGATTCTTGTTACTAAACTAACTTCATGAAATATAATTCAAGAAAGCATATTTTTTTCCTAAACATTGTCCACAAAAAAGTTAGTACAATTTAAACATATAATATATGGTATTGACATGTAATTTTGAAATGAGGGGAAAAAAAAAGAAAAGATAATAAATAACAGTAAAAAGGGCCTGGAAAAGATAAGAAGGAAAAAGAACAAGAACTTTTGGATCTTTTTCCCTCTTATATCAATTTCTTCTAATTTTTCTCATTTCTCATCATTTTTCCTTTTTTATCTTATTTTTCTAAGTATTATCAAAAGGTTTAATTACGTAATTGGTACCTGAACTATATATAGTGAAATTGTTAATTTGGTACCTGGTGAAAAAAAATTCATAATTAGGTAGATCAACTTTCAATCCGTCAAGCAAATTGCAAACGACACTAACTTCCTTACTCAAATGGACATGTCAACATGCAATCAGAATGTGCCACTGCCATGCCATTTTTTTATAAATTTTTTTTCTGTTTTTAAATTTTTTTAACTAAAAAAGTCCAAAAAATTAAAAGATTAAAAAATAAAAATAACAAAATTGGAGGAATAGGGAAAGAGAGGAATGGAAAAGAGAGAGAATGGAGGGGGAAGAGGAGGGAAAGGGGGACTTGCCAATGCTGATCTGGCTGGCCTGAGGCAGATCATCATCAATATGGCTGGAACAACCAAGATCAACACTGATCCGCCTAGGGCTGACCCCTTCCCCTCCCCTACACCCATCCTTCTTTCTCTCTCTTTTCCTTTCCCCTCTTTCCCTCTCCTTCCTTTCTCTCCCCCATTTTTCTCTCCTTGATTTTCTATATTTTTAATTTTTAATTTTTAAAAAAATTAATCAAAAATAAAAAATGATGTGGCATTTCTCATACACGTTACAACTGACATGGCATTTATAGGACAGTTGTTACATCCTCATTGGCCGTTTGACACTGTCAAATTTCAGTTAACAAAGCAAGTTTGCAATCTGTGGACTGAAAGTTGAAATACCTAATCATGAATTTTTTTTTTTTTTTTTTAAAGATACCAAATGTGTAATTTACCTACCCTATCCCAAATTAGGCTTTATGACATTAGGTCAAATATTATATTAATTTAAAGATTATAAATTCATTAATCATTTAATAATATTTTATGATAAGTCAGGCAAACTATATGAATTGAAAATATCACCATAAAAACATTAGATTAATTAAATTTGTCTTTTTAAAGGAAATATAAGAGAATTCTGCAATGTAGCTTGGACCCTTTTCTAGTGCTGGACAAAAGTAACTTTTCTAAACCTAAACCAAAGTAACCTAGGTCAAATTGGTTCCCATTAGGATCAGGTTTAGTTCTATCTATTCCTAGTGTTTGTTTGGACAAGCGACGCATGTCCAATGCTGCATTGGGAGTGCAATGTGGTGGAAGGGACCAAACAGACATTTAGTCCACTGGATCTAAAAATTAAGCTGTCTTGTCCTAGATTATAAGAATTTGACCTCTCAACCTACCGCCAACTTGTTTTGGATCTTTTAGGTTGTATGCTTAACTAGATATCAAAGCCTAGAAAATTTTGTTCCTATTGGATGTTTGTTGTCTTGTCCCTAAAGAACATGTGAAACACCCACTTGTTTCAATTGTTAGTATTGAACAGACATTCGAGGAACAGCGTAAGTGATTTCATGTCAAATTGGTTATATCTAAGATTTGTCGTGGCCTTGAGCAATTTCTGCTCTGAACCTATTGCCTAAAGAAAGCCCAATACTAAGGGCATGTGGAATCCGGTTCCAAGACAACCAACTTATCCCAACTATTAGCAGCATTAGGTTTAAAGCTTTAAGTGGATTACTACAATATATATCATGCAATACGCCATGGTACCCATCTCTAGCAAGGCAGAGCAAAAATCCAAAGTTTCCTTTGAGACATTTAAACTTAAAATTCTGTATACGCATTAAAGATTCATGCCTCAACTTCTTATCGAGGCTCTTGTAAAATATGAAATATTTTATCTTCAGCCCATCCCCCCCACCTCTCTCTCTTAAAGGGTTATTAAACACTTGCCTCAGGCAAGCAACAGGTTCTTAATTTCACAGCTCCAAAAGAAGACAGGTTATCAATCTCAAATCCATTGAAATTAAAAAAAAAAAAAAATGTCCAGCCACATTTTTTGAAAAGGAGCTTAAGACTAGAACCTCAGAAAGAACAATACCATGCAAAGATGAGGAACCGGGATGCCAAGGGCGTTTCAGTCTGAGGGGAAACAGAGATGGATACATTGGAAAAGTTGTTAACGGCTCAATCTCCCACAATGATACCCTTGGCTGTCTCTCACCTGCTGTTGACTCATCCCAACCAACCTACACATAGGAGTGGGTGAGAAATCAAACTCCAGTCAATTAAAAATTTAGGCTACAGAAAAATTTCTTCGTGATGATACCTTGTGCAACTAAAACAAATTCATAGTCAGACAGAAGACACATGTAAATCGCCAAGCATTCTAATGGGACTTGAAGCAACTCTAATAGAGGTTGACGAACCTTAAGTTTAGGATTTTGCATGGATATTCTATTTTGAAAATTCACAGGATAGAAACATACAAATAACCGTAAGCCTAGCAAGGTAATTTTGGGCATAGAGTTGAAACTGTTAGAAACTTGGCACAAATAGATATAACAGATGCAGAGGCAAATAAAAAGTACTTCCGTGCTATCCCATCCGAGCCATTGATGACACAATACAATATTAAACATGCCAACAAAAAAAACCTAATGCTCCTTTGGACCCTAATTTTGGGGCCACTGCAGAATAAAGTGCATCTCTTGAAATGTTCTTAATGAGACACTGCAAAACATTTATAATGCATAAATGATATTGAACCTACAAGATTAACATGCTAACAACAAAAACATAATGCAAAACAATGCCCTTGGACTCTAATATTGAGACCACTGCAGAAGAAAGTGTCTCCCAAATCATTCCTGATGAAATGCTGCAAACATTAATAATATGTAGTTCAAAATTAACTAGCAATAACCACCTTGCCAGAAGCACATACTTTTAAGAGCACAGCATTGCTTTTAGTCCAAAGCAACCAACATTTCCAGCCAACAATAGAAACTTTTGAGAGAAACCAAATTCCCAGCATTGAAGTCCATGAAACAACAGTCAGAGACAATAGCATAGAAGTTTTCAATAGATTGAACACATTACTAGCCACCTTGAACTATTTTGACAGCTCCCAGCAAATAGGATCCTTCTTGTAAGAAAACAACATAAAGTACATATTTGTATACAAAATCCAAACAAAAACGGAAACCCTAGACCTAGTTCAAAATATAGACCTGGATTAAAGATGTTACCATGTACCTAAAAGGTTTGGTTAAGACAGTAAGACAGCAATGGACTAAGAGATTGGAAAGATAAACAGAAGTTTTTGGGGTTATAAGAGTAGATAAAACGTGAAGCAAGGGTTATAATGGACTTTTGACAAAAAACTGAACTGACAGAAAATCCAGTTTTTGAAAGTTTGCAACCTCACCCTTGCATGATTTACACTAGGATCTTATTGCATTTCTTTTTGTTTCTTTTTTAACTCTTTTTTCTTTGATTGGAGAAACAAAGCAATGGCAACAAACCATCATGAAGAAGGAAGAGACATGCGAGAGGAAAGAGAAAGAATATGGTAACATTTTTAAAAATAGATTTAAATTGTATCCTTAAAATTTTTTAAGCTTGAGACTTGAATTTTATTAGAATTGATAGAAATAAAATATTATAAATTAAGACGATTACACTTGTTACCGACCCGGCAATCTTTTGACACATCAACACCTTTATTTGAATGGTGCAGCAGGGCATACTTTGAACCCTGTGGTCAATTGGAATTATTGAATAGAAAATGGAAGTTATTATGCACAATGGATTAAAAGAAAGTTCAATCTGTGCATTGGCTTCTTTTAAAAAGTTTAAAGGCAACATTGAGCTTCTAGCCAAGAAGAAAAGAGGAGAACAAAGGATCGTGGAGTAAATGCAGCCCATTCCATCCAGAAATCTCTACCCAAAAAAAAAAAAGAAAGCTACATTATTCTCTCTACAGAAAAAATCAATATAAATTTCTCCTTTCCTATAACTAGTGGTGCCCATTGGCTGGGCTGACCCAGGCCAGTTGGCACCTCTAAATGCCAAGCCCAGCCTGGCCCACCCAAGCCCACCCAATTAGGCCCGGTTAAATTAGAAATATTAAAAATTTATTTCCACATCAATATTTTAATACTTTAAATATATTTTAGAGTAAAAATTAAATAAAAGTAATTTTATCATAAAATAATGTCTCAAGCTTGTCCAAGGCCCAATCAGCATCAGGTCTAGCAAGTCACCTAGCCCATGGACAGGTCTACCTCTAATTATTATTTTACTTTGAGCCTTAGACATTGCAATATCAGGTTTATCCTAGAATTTGGGTAGAGAAGCAAAATAAAAACTAGCTTCACTTGGATAAACAATAACGTGTCACGGTTCCCTCTTAGCAAGCAACAAAAGAAAATGGAAAGAATTGTCCAGCCTAAATCTTTAAAAAATGTGGATACTGCAGGCAAAGAAAAAAAATCTATTTTAGTTTGATGACACACTGAGACTAATTAAAGTCCACTTCAAAATGATCATTTTTACAACCAATGTTTAATCATAATGCCTATCTTGCATGCAAGAAGAAAGAATCCTACCAGCCATACAAGCTGTAGAATACTTAAAGAACAATTGTCCTTATTTCTTCTTATTCTATTTAGAATGAAGGAGTACATATAAATAAATAGGATCAATGAAGTTCCTTATTAAGAAACAACTTACATGAAACAGAAAACAAAAAATAATAAAAGGAGAATTATTCTATTCTAAAATAGAAACAAATCCCTGAAAACTTGACAATCAGAATAGTTAACTAAATCAAAAGAATAAATGAGAAATATTCCCAAAATAAATTAGGAAATCAAGCTGCACTAATGTAGGAGAATCATATCTGTACTAATGTCGGAGAATCAGATTTCTACACTCCCCTCAAGCTGAGTTATGAATGTTAATCATATTCAGCTTGGATTTCAATCCGTCAAAAATGCTTTTAGGAAGAGCTTTAGTAAGAATATTTGCAATTTGTGAACTTGTAGGGATATAGGCCAGTTTGACCAACCCATTTTCTATCTTTTCCTTTATGAAATCTCGGTCCAGCTCTATATGCTTGGTCCTATCATGATAAATAGGATTTTTGGCAATACTTATAGTAGCCTTATTGTCACAAAACAGTGACATAGATGTTACAGTTTGAACTTTTAATTCTCCAAGTAACCTTATCAGCCAAATTCCTTCATAAATACCATGGGACATTGCTCTAAACTCAACCTTAGCACTGCTCCTAGCTACAACAGCTTGCTTTTTACTTTTCCAAGTGACCAAATTGCCCCAAACATAAGTGCAATATCCAATAGTGGACCTTTTATCTTTTACTAATCCAGCCCAGTCAGCACCTGTGTACACCTCGACTGCCCTGTCCATTGACTTCTTAAAATATAGACCTTCACCAAGACTCTTCTTTAAGTACTATAGGATGCGATGAACAGCCTTGAAATGCTCCTTGGTTGGATTATTCATGTATCTACTCACCATCCTTACTGCAAACCCGATATCAACTCGTGTTTGGGAGATGTAAATAAGCTTCCCAACTAGTCTTTGGTATTGCCCTTTGTCCGCGAGAGAGCTTCCATTTCCACTTCCAATTTTATTAGTTGAGTACATGGGTGTATCGGCATGTTTGCATCCAATCATGCCAATTTCTTTTAGTAAATCAATTACATACTTACGCTGAGATACCGATATTCCATTCTTAGACAGAGCCACTTCCATCCCAAGAAAATATTTAAGGAACCCCAAGTCCTTTATTTCAAACTCTTTTGCAAGGTGTTTCTTCAAATCATCTATTCCTTGCGGTCTCCGGTGATTATGATATCATCCACATAAACAATAAGAATAACTCTTTTTCCTACATTAGTGAACTTAACATAGTATGGTTAGATTGACATTGAAGGAATCCATACCTCTTCATTGCCTTGGTCAACCATTCAAACCAAGCCTGAGGAGACTATTTAAACCCATACAAAGATTTTTGAAGTTTGCAAACTTTGCCCATGTTGTCTTGCCTTTCAAAACCAGGAGGAATTTCCATGTAGACATCCTCCTCCGAGTCACCATTTAAGAATGCATTCTTAATGTCAAGTTGGTGGAGAGACCAATCCAAGTTGGCTACTAGAGACAATAGAACTCTAATTGAATTGAGTTTGGCTATCGGAGCAAATGTCTCCTCATAGTCTATCTCGTAGGATTGAGTGCACCCCTTTACAACAAGTCTAGCTTTGAACCTATTTATACTTCCATCTACATTGTGCTTTATTGTGAAGATCCACTTACATCCAACTAGGTTTTTCCCTTTGGGCAAATCTGAAATTTCCCATGTCCCATTCTTCTCTAGCGCCTTGATTTCTTCAAGAACTGCTGCCTTCCAATCTGTTTCATTGAGGGCTTCCTTTATATTTTTTGGAATTTGCACATTGTCAAGGTTTGGATTTAACCTGTCATATGAGATGTACTTGCAAATAAGGTACTGGGTACATGATCTCACACCTTTTCTTAATGCAATAAGAATGTCAAGGTCACCAGCTGGCTCATAAGTTTCTGTTTCAGATTCAATAAAGACATTACCTGTGCTAGTTTCAGGTTATTAGAGACTTAGATCAGGTTGATTTTTAGTGCTGGGCTATGTACAGTTGTCCATTTCTTCCTGCAGTTTTTGCTTTCTTGAGTAGACTATCAGTTCTTTTGTTATTTCTTGCATAACCTTAAGGTTTGAAAAGTCAAGAGTTGTTTGAACAAGTTGGGCTTCGGAATCTGCATGGTTGATAGGTTGGGTGGGTTGAGAATTTGGTATTGATGGGGCTAGTTGGGAAATTGGCAAGTCAAAAACTAAGAATTGATATTCCTGAGTAGTATTCTCTCCCTGAATATCATTCTTTCTGTGGTATGGAAGATTCTCAAAGAAAATGACATCCATAGAGCTATGGAATTTTTTTTGTGATGGATGAGTAACAGCTATAGCCCTTTCGGTTTGGGGAATAACCCAAGAATATGCATTTTAAAGCTTTAGGATCAAGCTTGTTGCAGTTTTGTTGGCTAATATGAACAAAGGCAATGCAGCCAAAGAGTTTGATAGGAATAGAAGAGATCAACCAAGTTTGTGGGTAAGATGCAATGAGAGTTTGACAAGGTGTTTTAAAGCCAAAAACTCAAAAAGGCATTCGGTTAACCAAATAAGTTG